AGGAAGTGCTCTCAGCCTCTGAGCTCAGCGGGCCACGCTCACACCGCCGGGAGCTGCGAGGTGAGGGGCCTGCTGCAGGCTGGGTGAGTCTCATGAGATGCCGACTGTGTTGAGCTCCGCACAGTGCTGAGTCCACTGACAGAGAGCACAGGCACAGACTGCCCCATAGCCGGGCCTCCACGGGCACTGCTCTGAGTCACTTCAGGCCCCAGGGCAGAGAGCAACCTGCTGAGGAATGGTGGTTTATCTTGGAGGAATTTAGGGGTCATAATTCCACAAGTGGTCTTATTCTAGAGCCCACCCTGATGACAATCTGTAAACCAGTGATGATGACAGTCTAAACCAGTGAGTCCTGTCCAGCCACAGAGATCCAGTGGACTGGCTCTTCTTGTCCTGGATGGTTCTTGAAGATGGGGCCCAGCCAGCACATCATGTTGGACAAGGGTCAGCATGAGTAGTAAGGGAGAACACCCCCCCCCATTCCCTGCAAATAAAGGAACAAGAAGGATGGATGGCTTATGATAAATACTTGGACAGGCCTGGCTATATAATGCACAGTGAAGACATGGAGTTCCACGTTCTTAACTAAGGATTTCAGGGCAGGGACAATGGAAACTCAATCCAGTTTGGAGCCCTTATGACACTAGGTCCCGCATGGCTGACCCGGTACCTAGGTATGATGTTGAGTCTCACCTATGTTGACATAAGAATATCACAAGCTATATGAAAAGGGCAAACCACAAGTAAGTCATGAGCAGCTATTCTTTTTATAAACAAGATAGGAGTTATAACCTGAGATGTTATAAGCCTGGGTAGATGTACAAGTCAAGGAGTTCCAAAACCACAAAATATTCAGAGTAGAGTTTGTTGGCCAGCCTCATGGCCCCTGGTCCGTGCTGCAGTACCTCTCTAGAGCTGCGGGATAGAGCACGGAATGAGCCACCTTTTGGAAGGAGAGGTAGATGGAAGGGAAACCTGTCTGCAGCAAAGTTCTTTGTGGAATGGCCTTTCTGAGGTGGAGCGGGCTTTGGTGCAACAGGACCACTGAGATCTCACCGCTGCCCCATGGGCACTGAGGCCCCCAAGTATGTACAGCAGGATTGACTTCACTGAGGCTGGGCATCATACAGGCACTTCCCCTATATCTTGTGGCAGATCATGGGCATGTAAGAATACGGGGCTGAGGTTCCTCTCCTGGAGTCTACCACCCAGCTCTGCCCTACTAGTCATCAGTGCCAAACAACGGGGAAACTCTCTAGTTGGACCCATGCTTATCTCCATGTGTTTTGCTCCTGGGAGTGTGGTGCAGGCCTGGTGTGTGCTGTCTGATTCTGGAGGCCTGGGAAGGGTTCAGAGTGAAGTAGAGGGGCTTGGAGTATTTAAGGTAAGCAAGTTGCGACGTAGACAAATGGGTTGTGAGTGGGTGGAGAGAGGCGCAGTGTATCAGATGTTGTTCTTGGCAGTTCCAGAGTATCTTTTTTTTTTTTTTAACCACTTCCATCTCTCTCCTGAGATTTCTTCCTTTTCACTCATTGGAAACATATTTTGTTTCACTTCCTTGAGACTTTTCAAAGCTATTTAAAGATCAGTGTTGGTAGCAGATGAAGTTGATTTTTGTTCTTGAGACTGTTTTTCGTTGGGTTCTTTATGTGACAGGTGTTTATTTTGTATTGACATATATTGCATATGTTTATAGGACGTAATGTAATAATTTGATATTATACCCAAAGTGTGATGATGAATTAAATCAGGACAATTAGCATTTTTCATCCCCTCAAGATATGATCATTTCTTTGGGTACCTCTGAACTCCTTTTTCAGATACTTAAGAATATATAACAAATTATTAATCATAGTTACCCTTCTGTGCAATCTATTAAATTTATCCCTCCTATCTAGCTCTATTTTGGTTTCTAATAACAATCTTTCTCCCCCACCACCCCAAACCCCTATTCTTCTTGTCAGTTCAGTGACCACTATTTGAGTCTCTACATCCATGAGGTAAAAACTTAAATCTTTTACATTATGGGCTAGAACACGTATTAGTCTTTATGTACCTAGCTTATTTCACTTAACATGATGTCCTCCAATTCCATCCATATTGCTAAAAAAAATGACAGGATTTCATTCATTTTTAGGACACAAATAAATAATATTCCACCATGCATATATACTATTTTACACTCATCCATCAGTGGACACATAGATTGATGAGGTCTCTTGGCTACTGAGAGTAGTGTAGTAAACCTAGAGAGCACAGTTGTTTCTTCAGCCCAGTACTGGGGTTGCTGTTCCCATAGTTGTTGTATTTGAGAAACTGCCATGCTGTTTTCTATAATGGCGGTACTAATTTACATTCCCACCAACAGTGTGTGAAAGGGTTTTTCCTTTTTTCTCCATCGTTGCCAACACTTTTTTTTCCTACTTCATTCTTACCAGAATGAAGTAATATCTCATTGTAGTTTTGATTAGTATTTTCTTTTTCTTTCTTTTTTTTTGTCAGTCGTGGGGCTTGAACTCTGGGCCTGGGCGCTGTCCCTCAGCTCTTATCTCAAGATGAGTGCTCTATCACTTGAGCCACAGTGCCACTTCTGGCTTTCTGGTGGGTTAACTGGAGATGAGAGTGGCACGGACTTTCCTGCCTGGGCTAGCTTTGAACTGTGATCCTCAGATCTCAGCCTCCTGAGTAGCTAGGAGTGCAGGCGTGAGCCACAACGCCTGGCTTGATTAGTATTTTCTTGATCAAGAAGTTTTTCATGTTACTTGTTGGCCAGTTGAATGTTTTCTTTTGAAAAAGTGTCTATTGCATTTTCTGAAATGGTATTATCTACTATCAATTGGAATATATATGAATATAAATACATACATGTGCATACATTCTAGATATTAAACCCATCAGGTGTATGCCTTGCAAATATTTTCTTCCACTCTTGTTAATGAATTCTGATTCAAATGTACTGTCACTGGTATGGCTTTGATACCTTTAAAATTATGGAGGCTTATATTACAACCTAGCATGATCCTGGAGAATGTTCTGGATGCTTATTCTGTTGTCAAGGAGAGTGCTCTACAGAGGTCTATGGCTTGGTGTTTTACAATGTGGTTTACATCTTGTGGTTCTGTTGCTGATCTTTTGCTTAATTATTTCTGTCCTGTGCTTTCACATAATGGTGCATTTAGAATCCACTCAAGAGTATTCCATTCTAGCCCAGAAGATTATACTTTTTGAGATAGTATCTTTTCTGCTCTTTCCCCTTTAATTTTTCTCTTATCTCCATTAGCTCCACGGGTTTCCTCATAACAGTTAGTCTCCCTTGCTAATATGCAGGGTTAATAATCAGTAGCCAAATTGGTTAGCAATGTATTAGAACAGGCTGTGAGGGTCCAGGGCAGTATGGATATGTGACACTGTGACAGCTTGGAAGTCTCTTGGATGTGTTCTGTAACACGGCTTCCAGATAGCAGAGATTAGAGGAAGTGAGGTGTAGATGTCTACATTGTGGCAGGAAATAGTCCCATAATACCCCTCACTGAGTTTCCGCTGCATATACAGTAGTGTAAGGTGGTCTGGGAAACATGGACCAAATAGGAGTTTCAAGTAAAAGTTACCAGGATAGAGAATGAGCAGTTTTGAAACTATGCCACATGAGGTAAAAGTGGGAAGAATACTCCACTGGGGGCCAAAAAAATCAAACTTGGAAATGGGGGAGGAAGGAAAAACTTACCAGAGTGTATGATTGTGCTGATATTGTAATAAATCAGTTTCCTTCTACCTTAGCCATGCCTCCTAACAGCAGATGTTTAAATGAGTAGCTTTTGATTCAGTAATGAAGAAATTCCTAATGATGATAAATGCTTATAACCGAGTGTATAAGTATTTACCATAACACATGCTTGGAGAGACAAAATTCAATGGAACCACTCCTTAGCACAGCTCATAAAGTGAAGTGAATACAACTAAAGTCCACTGCTGGGCAGATGCTCTATTGCTGATGCTCTATGACCCACCCATTCACTGCCAAGATTTTATCTACAGTAGAAGATAGGCTCTTGCTTTGTGCCTGCCAAAGAATCTTCTGGACTTTGATCCTCATATTTGTGTTTCCCTGAGTTGTGGGGAAGACCTAGCCATTGGTTGAGATGGAGTTTCATGAACTTTCTTTTCTTTATGCCCAGGCCCCTGATCTTCACCTCCTAAATAGCTAGGATTATAGGCATGAGCCAACAATGTTGGGTTCACAATAAGAAATTTGACTGTGGCACCCAGAGCTGGTTGGTGTCTTTGAAGCAACATAAAATATTCAGTGAAAGTCTAGGGACGTTCTATTTTTTAGCTCTTTTCCTTGTGAGTTCTCTTCTGGTCATTAAATGATGTATAAAGTTGGTGATGAATTAACTTTGTAATAGGGTTTTACTGACACCCAGTGGTAAATATGAACACTAATATAATGTAATGTAGTGTTAGATGTACAATTAACACAAAATAAATATTTATTTTATAAAACTATAAATAATGATAAATTTGTTTTGAACTGTACTTTCAAAAAGGAGTTGACTATTTAGGTGTTGTTTTATCTTTGAAATATTTTTACCCTGAAATTTCAAGATTTTCAATATAGTTGTGTTAATTTGTAGGCAAACATAAATTGCCTTTAATTTTTAATGCATATATTTCAGCAATTTATTTTCTTGGTTTAAAAAAAATAGAAAAACCTTACCTAAGTTATGAGTTTGTTAAAGTTTAGTGATGTGAGTCAGTAGCACTGAAAAATCCAACACTACTAACGTTACTTTTATACAATGGTGACCCCTGTCTTACCTGGGTTTCTGTGAACCAAACTGGCAAAAGCTGCTGTGTGGTTAAGGAACGACAGGTGATAGGAGATTTGCCAAAAATAAAAAATAAAAGCAGAAGAACTAAAGAAACACTTCACTGGCTAGCTTAGAGAGAGAGAGATAGATAAGAAGCCAATACTTAAATGACAATACAGGCTTTGAATATTCTATTAAAGACATGCAAGTGTCATTTTTATTAGTTTTATTATTTTACCATATTTGATTTGTTTTGTTCGATCCATCAGATGAAAGACATGTTGACTAACTACAACATAATTTCTATAGCCTGAGGGGTCACATGCACCATTACCTGAATGGAGTTGATTGGCTGCCGACTGGGCTCATGGCTCCCAAGCGCCCCCTGGCCGTGACATTTCTCATTTCCCTCAGGATCTCATGGTTTGCTTATTCATCCAGCCCCAAGAACCTCCTATCCTGGGGCTGCGGGGCTCTGCTGTATGCGGCTCTCTGTGAGAGGTTTGGATCTGAAGGTAGCTGGAAGCCCACCAGGGGCTCTCTCACTGCCTCAGGATGTCCAGGCCTGCCAGGGCCAGGCACTAATGACCTCTGCTCATACTGATCCAGTCGCTTCTCAACCACTTCACGAATCAACACTGAAAGGTTCAAAGGTCATTGTGATCTTTCAGATATTAGATGACTTACAGGTGAATAGAAAACACTCACTAGGCCTCCCCCCTTCCCTGTAACATAACCTCTTATCAAGTCAGCATATTTAATTCACATACCCGCATGAATGCATGGAATGAGATACCATTTCTATTTGTCTTACCAGAATACCAGTTATAAAATAAGGATAGAAGATAAAGATTAAAAGGATAAGAATAATACTGAGGGTGAAGATCTGCATCTTTGTTAATGTAACTGACACACTGAAAATATAAGTTCTAAACTATAAAAATTAATGTTTCCATTTTTTTTGTGGCAGGGCTAAAGACCTGAAATCAGCGACTCCTACTTAGTAGGCTTGTTCAATACCTCCAGCCATGTATGTCACTGGTTCATTTTAGAATAGGGTCTTGTTTCCTTCTCTAAGGATACTGTGCCTAAGCTGTGGTCTGCTCACTTTCAGGCTTCCCATTGTTATTGGAATCACATGACATGGCATGTTCCAACCATGTCATCCAGCTTTTCTCCATGGAGATGGAGGCTCTCGGACTTTTCTGTCCAGGCTGGTCTCAAGCCACCATCCTCCCATTCTCAGCCTCCCTGGTAGCTTGGGATGACAGGTGTGTGCTGGTGTACCCAACTATGGATTGAAAAGGAGTCTTGAGAACTAGTGAGCAGCTGCATTATGTCTTCAACTTATTCTTCCCACTGAAAAGTTGAGAGGTGATTTTTTAAAAATATAAATTCGTTTTTCAAAATTATATTTAAATAGCTTTACAAAGCAGTTTTAATTCAGCATATTAATTTATGTATACCATCATCTTCATCAGTGTCACCCCTTCTGGAGAGGTGACTTAAAGAAAGTCAGTGACTTACTGTCCAGCACTGTTCTTCCCACCATGTTGTATTCCATGGTCTTTTCAACTTCATACATTAGCCATGGGAGGAATCCTACCTCAATATCTGTTTAAAAGAAAAAAAGCTTCATTAAGTCATTTTCACAAATCATTAAAGACAAGAAGAAAGTGTCTTCTCCATAATGGAACAGATTCATCAATATTGTTTTCATAATACAAAATGTTAAATAAGCTCTTAAGTCTAACTCTTGCCATATTCTTCAGGTATGTTCCAGCCAGTTTCCTTTTCTATTGCAGTCCAAGTTGTTTCTCCAAGTTTTTGAGGCCTTCACTGGAGTCAAAGCAGTTAGAACTTTGACTCTGTAATGCTTTAGGGCTTTACTAGTGTGATCTGAGGTGGGTGAAGGAGGCAGGGGGTAGAGGTAGATCTTGCAGAACTGCTTTTAACTGAGTTTTTTTTGGTCTGGTCATGGGGCCTGAACTCTGGGCCTGGGCGCTGTCCCTCAGCTCTTCAGCTCAAGGCTAGCACTCTACCACTTGAGCCACAGCGCCACTTCTGGTTTTTTTCTTTTTGCTTATGTGGTGCTGAGGAATCGAACCCAGGGCCTCAGGCATGCAAGGCAAGCGCTCTACCACTGAGCCACCTTCCCAGCAACCTTAACTGAGTTCTTAAGGCACTCTGTAACAGAAAGAACAGGGACTAGTGTCATGGCTTGTGTCTGCCACTTGCTACTGTGTTGAAGGATTGGTCCTAGTTGATAGTGCCACTGGGAGGTGGTGGAACTTTTAGGAGCTAGGCCTAGGTGGAGAAAGTAGATGTTTGGGGTGTTCCATTCAGGCTGTGTTCTGCCCTGCCTGCCCCTTCTCTCTGCTTCCTAGCTCCCATGAGGTGAGCAGCTCTGCTGCACGTCTTCTGCCATGGTGTTGAGACACCACAGGCACAGAAACTATGGAGCCAAGTGACTGCTGACTGAAACGTCCGAACCCATGAGCCCAAATAAGCCTCTCCTCCTTAAAAGTTGATGATCTCAGGCATCTCATTACAGTAAAGAACTGTGGACTTGGAGTTCCAAGTCAGCTGGAGAACCAAGCCTTTCCACGGAATATTTGGGAGCAAAGATTTAATTTGTCTGAGTTTCAGCTTGTGGTTCTGAAACATGCTAATTATATCCGTCCCACAAGCAATTATATCATATATGATAACATACATGATATGGCTACCTCTGCCCCATAAATGATTATATAATACGTGATGCCATTAGTATAAATGAATGATATTTATTTGTAACTTGACCTCTATGGATTGAACTATCAGTGAAAATGAACATTACTGCCATTTTCTCCCAAATACTGTGATCCAATGACAGACCTGGAAGCAAAGCCCCAGAGCTCTGAGTGCTTTTAACCCAGGGAGGGTAGCAGTGAGCACAGAGGCCTCTTCTATATCTGGCTTGACTGCCTGAAGATCAGGGCTCCTATTTGAAAATGTCCAGCAACTAACATAGTGCCTGGGACAATGTAAACACTCCAGTGGGTTTTCAACTGGAATAGAGAGCTGAGAACATGCTAATAACTATTTACAGGTGTTTTACATAGAAAACACTTTGTTTAGACCAAGTTTCATGTATTTATGCTTCAACTCCTAAAACATCCTCATTTCATGCATGAGCACAGGGAGGATCATGAAGCCAGTTAATGAAGAAGTTGGAACCCAAAGTCAAGATCTATATTTCTACTAGCCAGTGTTTTTTTTTCTTAATAAATATATTCTACAATCAAGATCTTTATAAAACCACCTTTAAAATGTCCTTTTGGATCTTATTTGCTGGGAATGAGATGAGTGTACTATTCCCAGAATCTAATTTACTAGAATCTGTCATGAGCATCTATTAAGTTTGAACTAAGTTTCCTTAGAAAACTCTCTCTGTATGGAAAGAACAAAGGAAGGGGTGACATTCATTAAAAAAATGTTCTGTTGTTTAAACTGATCATAATCATTGTGTATATTTGTAGGGCACTACAACGCACCTCTTATTGATGATGGTACTTACAACAATAGTTAACTTAGTCTACTTCAACATGAAAACTGACATGAGGGTGCTTATTATGACAGACTTAATACAACAAAGCTCTCCACAAACCTCTTTCAACAGGGTCGTAAAAGTAGCCACTGTCCCTGAGACTGCCGAAAACAGATGGCAGCAGGTCTGCCAGGTAGCGTTGTGCAAACACCCGGGCGGAGATCTTCTGTGCTGTCTCGTTGTGCTTGTTGACGATGTCCCACTGCTGCTGCTTGCGACGCTCCTGCCAAGAGGAGAAGATGCCATTGTAGACGGTTACTTAAGAATCAGGACTTCCTCAGATGGTACATTTGGAGAGGTCACTAAGTTTAGACTTGTCAAAATATGGTTGTCAATATCTCAACTGAAGAGTCCTATTTTTCATCAAGACTTTAATGAGTTTCAACAACTTTTATGTACTGAGTTAAAAAAATCTATACACACACATGTTAAGTTGGAGCTTAAGGTAAAACTCAACTACTGATCATTTGCAAGTAAAATAATTTCAAGATATTTCAAGATATACATACATGGATGCTATCACAAGATTAACAATAGTCAGGTGTGGTGTGCACACCTGTAATTCCACTACTTAGGATAGTGAGACAGGAGGATTGTGAGTTCAAACCCAGTCTGGGTTATATAGAGAAGCCTTGCCTCAAAAGAAAAAGTACAAATCCTAAATGCATACATATTCTTCATTAGTATTATAAATACTGATATAAAGCTACAATTGCTAAGATATCTTCAATTAAAGAATTTAGGCCAATGAATGAACTCATTTGTAATACTTTGAATTTACAAAGCTGAAATGGAGATTATGAAAACTTGTTGCTCTTTTGACTATATAATATCTATAAAGTTAACCAATATTTGAACTGTGATCCTCAGGTCTCAGCCTCCTGAGTAGTTAGGATGACAGGTGTGAGCCACCAGTACCCGCTTCAGATAAATATTTTTTGATAACGATTTCACTGATTATTTCAATGCAGCTTTAAATAATCACACAATTATTAATTTTGAAGAAAAATTTACAATTCAGTATGGCTAAATATTGAGTAGCATTTCTCAACAAACAAGTAACTTGGGCCCTTTGTGAAGTTATTTTAGCTGGTACTACTTGTTAAAATTTATTCATTTAATGTATAATAGGTAACAGTTACTGGCAGGACCAGAAATATCCTTAAAGATTACTGAGGCCCCAGTGTGGTGGTGATGTTCCAGGTACTGGGAGGCAGAGATCAAGAGGATCATGGTTTGAGGCCAGCCTGGGCAAAAAGTTAGTGGTGACTTAATCACAACAAATATGAAACAGAGCCAGGTGCCTGTGGCTCATGCCTGTAACCCTAACTACTCAGGAAGCTGAGACCTGAGGATCATAATTCAAAGCCCTCCTGGGCAGGAAAGTCTGTGAGACTCTTATCTCCAATTAACTGCCAGAAAACCAGATGTGGCACTGTGGCTTAAGTGGTAGAGTGCTAACCTTGAGGTGAAGAGCTCAGGGACAGTGCGCAGGCCCAGAGTTCAAGCCCCACTTCTGACAAAACAAAAAACAAAAAAATACAACAAAAAAATACAAATATGCAACAAACCACCTAAGTGTGGTGATGCATGCCCATGATCCTCGCCAAGAGGGAGGCATAGGTAGCTATCCAAGGTAGGTCTTGGGCAAAAAGCCTAAGAGCCAATTTGAAAAATAACTTCAGCAAAGAAAGGACAGGAGGCAAGGCTCAAGTGGTAGAGTACCTGCCTAGTCAGTGTAAAGCCCTCAGCCCCAACCGCACTACCACCAAAACCCAAGCCAAACTGAATGATACTTAGTCTATAGTTTCCTAACTATAACACAGTGGTCTATTAAAAAAAATATGAGTTGTAAAATTTCTCTTACTGAAGGTTCATAAAAACTATAATCTAAAAAATATTCTACAAGGACTTGAGCAGTTTAGAGCTCCCTAAGGTTACAAGAGGGCCTGGTCACTTAGAAATGAGGTCCACAAAGGGTCTTGCCACTGAGAAAGATCCATAGTCCTGGCCACTGAGGAGCAAGGTCCACAATTCTATCCAGAATACAATAGGCCTGGCCAAGGAAAAGTGAGATCCACAAGAGGGTCTGGCCATGGAGAAATGAGGCCCACCATTCTACTCAGATCCTCTGCTTCTTAACCCCAGCAAGCCTGACAGACAGTACTTTTCCCTTCAACACTGTGACACTGAATTACTGCAAGTCAAAGTATTTCTTTCTCTACGGCTTCTGATATTTAAGAGCATCTTCTAACTGGGACACATGTAGTTTTGGAAACTTCATTTAATTTGGAACTTTTGCGAACTCAATTTAGGTAACATTTATGCAAGTGAAACTTCTAAAAAGTCAGTCCATGATGGATCTATGATCTAACGGAGCCACAACAAATTTTATGGGTCTTTTTTTTTAAACCGTATTTCCAATGACTAGCTTTATGACATATCATACATAACTTTTAAGTAGCTGAAGCTGGGTGCTGGTGGTTCACGTCTGTAGTCTTAGCTACTCAGGAGGCTGAGATCTGTGGATCGCAGTTCAAAGCCAGCCTGGGTAGAAAAGGCCAAGAGACTCTCACCTCCAATTAACCACCAGAAAACCGGAAGTGGAATGGTGGTTCAATCTGGTAGAGCACTATCTTAGAGCAAAAACTGCTCAGGGACAGCGCCCAGGCCCTGAGTTCAATCCCTATGACAAAAAATTAAAAAATGAAGTAGTTGAATGACAAAGGTGCTGGGGCTCTCTCCTAAGGAATTGCCCCAAAGAAGGTACTTCACTCACATGAACAAAGACCAGTGTTCAATCCCAAACAGTAGGTGGAAAAAGAGACTAAGAAAGGAAAATAGAACTGTATACTTTTTCTTCCCGGTGTCGTCTCTCTTGCTCTTCTAGCCGCTGAACTTCAGCCAGCTCTACGTTCCGTATTTCTGCATAGGTATGCTGGCTGGCACGCAGGTTGGCCAGCTCTTCTTCCTCCATCACTTCCAGAAGAGCCTGCTCAACTGTCTTCCCGACCAAAACTTCTAACATTGGCTTAACTTCAAGATCAAAGTCAAAGAGCTTGAACACATAAATGGAAGCAAATCAAATTTGAAGTGTGAGCTAAATGTGTAAAAAAATATGAAGTAGAATAACAATAAGATAGTATTTATTAAGGCTGTTTGTACAACAGACACTGTGCTAGTAATTTATTTGTGGTCTTTAATTCTCAAAAGGAATTTTGCAAAGGTACACAGAATAGCATTTTATTTTTGGGCAAAAATGTATTAAGTTAAAGTTATGAAAACAACATCTCTGCTTTCATTAACATGAAACTTGGTATTCCACAATTTAAGATCAAATTCTGAAATCAAAAGGAAATGTCCTGGTTTTTCTTATATTCTGCCTATGCTGCTCAGCTTTTACTGCCTTTTAAAATACTAGTTTGATGAGCTAAAAAACAAGAATGATGACTGTTTTAAGCCATTCATGCCTATGATTTAGAGGTGAATTTATCTTCCAAGTAGCATCTTAAGACTTACTTTCTTTCCCAGTTTCAGTGACAATATTAAGTTCCTTCAATTCTTAAATCACTTTTAGCTCAATATGCACATAATCACTACTATCTCCTCTTTAGCTTCCCACATTAATATGAAAATGCAATTAAGCCTTTATTAAGTAGTTGTACAAAGAAGTTACTATTCCATAGTAAGGTTTGTTTTTTTTATGGACAAAACCATAGAAGTCACCTACTTTGTGTGCAATCTCTTACATCAGGGAAAAGATGTTTCTTATTTGGTACAAGTCTGTCTTATGTGCACACATTAGGCAAGTATATAAACAAACAAAATGTACATAAACAAAACATGTATTTGAGAAGATTCCTAATAAGCAAAAAGGAGAACTCAGAATATGGAACTTAAATGAATTTCTGAGGTGGTAAGTTGGGGAGGAGACTAATGGAAGGGATGACAATAATCAAAATATGTTGTACACATAAATGCACATGCTCAATAAAAACCCTTTTGTACAAGCATGTGAAAATAAGTGAACCTTACTCATGTAACCGTAATCCCTCTGTACACTATTTTTACAATAAAAAACATATATAAATGAATGAAATTTCTGGGTACTGCAAGATGAAACTATTATAGATATTGTAGATTGCATCTAGACAGAAACCTTCAAAGTAGAATCTTTCTGACCATCAAACAGTTCTCGACTACACTAAGCTTTACACAAACATAACTTTTCCTCCCTTATGAAGAGAGAGAAGCCAAAAGATCATACTGTACCTCGCCTTCTAGTATTTGGGTGGCTACATCCCTACCAGTTTTGGCAGGAATGAAGAGTGGTGTCGGTGGTCTGTCCAAAAATGCATCTGTCTGGCATTCCATATCAACTTCTATTATGCGGTCAGCAAGCTCTTCAAGGTACAATTCTGAAAAGAAGAATATTATATATTGCACATTTGAAATTCTAGCCTATTTCAAGCATACATGCACATTTACAATTCCAGTGGTGCACGCCACTAATCCCAGCACTCCAGAGCCAGAGGCAGGAGGATCACAGGTTGAAGGCTGCCTGGGTTTCCTGGTGAGACCTGTTCTCGTAAAAAACAAACAAACAAAAAAAAGGATTCAGATACCCTCCCTCCCCCACACCCAATTCACAATTAAGCAGATCAAAGAAGGCTTAGAGAGAAAGGGCTTCAATGCAGGGTTTAATTCACCTGTTGCAGTAAGTGTTTTAAGCATATAGATGGTCTCAAAGTCATTCAGGCTAGCGCGTTTCCAGAATGTGTAGAAATCATTGAGCTTTGCATGAGAGAGAGAAACTAAGAACATGAGACCACAGATGTATGCGAGATGCAAACTACAAAAGGGACGACACTGTGGTCAATGCATCATACTGTCATGCGCCAAGACCTCACGTCACTTAAGGTTATTGATGTAAAACAAGTTCAAGTGAGGAGTGACATCTAGGAAGGTAAGAGTGAAGAGCACGCGTGTTCTTCAGGATCCCCGGATCAGCCACGGTACTTCCCCACCACATCCCACTTTCTTCATGTATAAAAGGAATCAAAATTACTTGTTAACTGGAACCTTCGCAATGACAGAGAGGTTCACAGGTAAAAGAGCTTGTGTAGTCTCTGAAGAAAGACAAAAAAGTCATGACTGTATTGCTTAATATTCTAGTAGCACAAACAACACTAAATCCTTCTTAGAGGTCACCAATCACTGACAGTCACTTACTCTAGACTAGGCTTATAAATGCCACAGAGGAAAACAGATATGGACCAGTTCTTTTTGCTTTATTCCACAAATAGCTCTAATGAATTTGCTCATCATCTTGGAAGGGTACAGCATTGTGGGATTACCAAGAATGCTAACAACACAGGTGAGCCTAGAAGAGACATGTGGGAAATATCTGCTTTCCATACACCAAACTGATGAAGCCCTTGGGAGTATACAAATGAAAGGAGGATAAAAGGAGAGAAGGAAAGAGGCTGCTGTCAGAAGTGAGCGGGTTTTCTCCAAGCAGACTTAGTTGCTCTCCTCTTATAAGCCACAACTGAAATAACATTTGTGAAAGGGCTAGGAATTCATTTGTTCATAAAGTCTTTTTAAAGCTACTGCCACACTTCCAGCCTTATACAAATACAGTAGCAACATATACTATATATTTTTGCTAATGAATGGACATCATTATCAAACTGGAGGATTGGCACACACAGGAAAACATACATCATATAAAGGAAAGGAAATGGCAGTGAAATAAAAAAGAGCTGTCACAAACAGCTGAGCAAACTGAGGAGCCACAATGCCAGTGACAGGGCCACGCACCTGTCTGCACGTCCACATGCTTTCTGCCTTCCACGGGCTCTGGAGTTCGTGGCCGGAGCCGTTCTTGGGCTCGTTTTCTGGCAAGAGCCCTCCTCCGAGCCATCTGTTGTCTCTGAAGGTCTAATAGATCAGGCTGTCCAGGCTGAGAGGGACACAAAAGACTTCTACAATTAGAAAACATTTCCCAAAGTGCCTCCTAGATTGTACCAAGGAACTTGTCATAAGAGTGCTTCCAGATCACCAGTGACTTAACACTTTGTTAGGCCTTTTTCATGTAATAAGAAAGTGTCTGGCAGAGCCTAAAAGTAACTTCAAATAAAAAGAGATGGATGCAGGATACTACCTAATAATTATCTTACCATACTTTCATGTGCAGTTAAAGAAAAACATTAGGATTTAAAAATCCAATCATGTAATTCCAGTTACTTGGGAGGCAGGAATTAGGAGGACCAAGCTTGGAGGCCATCCCAAGCAAAGAGTTACCAAAACTCCATCAACAAGTAAGCCGGTGGTATGTATATGCTTGTCACTGCAGCTATGCAGGAGGTGTAAATCGAAGACTGTGGTCCAGGCTCACCAGGCAAAAACGCAAGAGCAGCAAGATTGAAAAGGCCTGGAGGTCTGGCTCAATTAGGTCGATTTGAGGTCCTGAGTTCAAACACCAGTACAACACACAAAAAAAATCTAAATTACATATAAATTTCCTTAAAAAATTACTAGCTTAGATGGATGCCGGTGGCTCACGCCTGTAATCCTAGCTACTGAGGAGGCAGAGATCTGAGGATCATGGTTCAAAGCCAGTCTGGGCAGGAAAGTCCGTGAGACTCTTATCTCCAATTAACCATTAGAAAACCCGAAGTGGTGCTGTGGCTCAAGCAGTAGAGCGCTTGCCTTGAGCTGAAAAGTGCGGGGACAGCGTCCAAGCCCAGAGTTCAAGCCCCATGACCAACCAAAAAAAAAATTACTAGCTTAAATCTTTGGTCCAACTGTAAACATCTTTAGTCTAAGGACACAAAATAAACTGAATAAAAGATTGAAAGTACAATTTTTCACAGCAGTTCTGCAACCTTTGGAAGTCTGTGGTAAATCTATTAATGGTGGTTCTCTTCTCTGTCCTCCTCCCTCCCTCCTTCTTTCCTTCTCTTTTTTTCTTTCTTTCCATTTCAGGGCCTCCAGTTTGGCTCTTCTGTCCATAGCTGATACTTTACCAGTTGAACCATGCCTCCAGTTCCAGGCTTTTGCTGGTTAATTGAAGAGTCTTGCATTTGTCTGCCCTGGGCTGGCTTCAAATCTCTAACCTTAGCTCTCAGCCTCCTGAGTAGCTAGGGTTATAGGTATCAGCCACCGCAGGAGGCTTATGGGGGTATGGTTTATATTTTTCTAGCAGCTCAGGCTAAACTTTTTTTTTTTTAAGCCGGTCGTGGGTCTTGAACTCTAGGCTTGGGCGCTGTCCCTCAGCTCTTCAGCTCAAGGTGAGCCCTCTACGGCTTGAGCCTCGGCACCACTTCTGGTTTTCTAGTGGTTTATTGGAGATAAGAGTCTCACAGACTTTCCTGCCCAGACTGGCTTTGAACCATGATCCTCAGATCTCCACCTGCTCAGTAGCTAGGATTACAGGCCTGAGCCACGGGTGCCTGGCTCTAAACATCTTTTTGTGTGCGTATCTGCCATTTGCTCACATTTTTTGACCATCTTCAAATAGGTTTTTATTTTTTTCAACTTATGAGTTCTTGGAATTCTACATATTCCCAATATAAGACCTTTCTTGGATATGTGATTTGCAGGTATTTGTAGCTGTCTCTTGAGTTTTTTTAGGAGAGCAGATCCTGATGGTGCTCTTCATGCCTGTCCCGTGTTTACTCGAAACAGCAGCTACCAATTAAGTCAAAAAACCCAGTCTCATTTAAATCTGAACATTTCTAGAATCCCATTTTTTAATCTATGAAAATTTTGGCTCTCTCTCTTTGTACTGTTAATGACTGTGACCAGTATTACAAGGTACATGGGTAACTTATTCTGTGTTTAGCCCCAATGTCTTACCACTTCAAGTATAAATTACTTTTTAGATTTTTCTATTATCCCCACTTCTGAAATGTAATAAAATAAGATCTTGAATATTTCATTCCCATGTTTTAAGCATATTACATGAGGATCTACATGAACTACTAAATGTAATTTTAAAACTCTGTGGAAAGTTATATCTACTTCTATTTTGATTCATTCCATAGTTTCGTCCTTTTTGAAGTCCCTCTCCGTCCTTCTACACCTTCTGTTATCATTTCTGTTTAGAGAACTTGTTCTTTTTTGTCCATACTGGGATCTGAGCTCAGGGCTTCTTGCTTGCTGGGCAGGTGCTCAATCATTGAGCCACACCTCTAGTCTGCTTCCCCCTCCAGCGGCGCCCTTCCCCCGCCCCCGCAATTTCTTTTTTTTAAGGGCTGCTAGTGACACATTCTCCTAGTCTTCCTTCCTCTGAGAATATGTTTGTTTCACATAGTTCCCAAAAGATATTTTCACTATCTTCTTGCCTCTATGTTCCAGATGAGAAATCTACTGCCATCTGAAGCATGTTTCTCAGTGTTAATGTGTCATTTCTAACCAGCTCCTTTGAAGGCTTTTTGTTTTTAGTTTGTAAAAGTGTGCTTTTGATTTGGGTCGGCAGAAATTTCTTGGGGCTTATTCTGGTGGTTCACTTAATTTCTTAAATCTGTAGTTCTTCTGTGGAAGCTCTGGTATTTTCAGGCCTTGCCTCAGTTTCTCTTCTGGGGTTCCAATAACATAGATGTGATCTTTTATTGTTCCTCTGCTGCCTAAGGGTGGAGGGCAGGGAGCTATTTTCTCTCTGCTAAGATGGTAATTTTCATTCATTAGTCTAAGTTCACTTGTTATTTCCTCTGTCACTTCTGCCCAATGGGTTTATTTTGGTTATTGTATTTTTCATTTATATAGTTTCTACTTGCTTCATTTTTAATCTATTTTTTTTGCTGAGGTTTTATTCATTTTCTTAGAGAGTGCATAATTATTCACTTTTGATTAAATACTTTTGTATGTGCTTTAAGATTCTTAAAATTCCTACATTTTAGCATTTTGTGTTGAGTTGGTTTTCTCCTTATAAAAGACTCTCTTGATTTATGAGTGGCTTATTTAAAAACCACATTCTGGCCGGGCACCAGTGGCTCACATCTACAATCCTAGATACTCAGGAGGCTGAGGTCTGAGGATTGTGGTTCAAAGCCAGCCCAGACAGGAAAGTAGTTTGTGAAACTCTTATTTCCAACTAACTACCAGAAAGCTGGAAGTGGCCCTGTGGCTCAAGTGGTAGAGTACTTGCCTTGAGCTGAAGAGCTAAGGGACAGCGCCCAGGCCCAAGTTCAAGCCCCATGACCGCAAAAAATAAAATAATAAAAAAATCATATTCTGGAGATGTGGGGTATCATGACACTCTGGATTCCACTGAAGTGTTTTGCCAGGGCTTTCCCCTTTATGTTTTAGTGTGCAAATCTGGATAGTGTTGGAAGATGAAATCCCTGCTGTGCTCTGCTGACAGCACCTTACTGGAATTATTACTATCTCTAGAACTGTTGTAATCTTACAAAACGAAACTCACTACTCATTAAATACTGTTCCTATTTCCCCTCTCCCTAGCTCCTGGCAAGTATCACTAGGACTATCTATGTCTTTTTCTTTTTTCTTTTGAAAAAAGATTGAACTCAGGACCATACATATGCTAGGCAATGCTCTACCACTGAGCCACATTCCCAGCTGTTATAGGTCTTTAAAAATTTTCACTTGTGATTTGTCTTTATTTCATTTTACAAGTATTTCTGCAAACAATGTGTTAGAGATGAAGATATACACACAAACAGACCCATCCCCACCCGCAGTGCTTACCAGGGTCCCTGTGGGCAGTGCGTACGTGTTGCCTCGGATCACCCTTCTGTCGTACATTATGTTCCCATAATGCATAGATTCTTCAGATCTGTAAAATAGCAAATAGGAGAGTGGTTGAAGAAAGTGTTGCCAGAGACAAATTCATTTTCAGTAGAACTTAGAATGAAATATGTGGATAGTGTTGGGAAAGACCAAGTGGATGAAAGGAGAGAGGGCAGAGGCCTGGACAGATGGAACAGGCTTTAATCATTGCCACAGAGGGGGTGGGAGAAACAAGGTGCAGGGAGTGTGGGGTTAGAGTTTACATATAGTTGAGCCTGAGAGGTTTTAGGAATGTCTTTGTGGTTGTGGCAGCCTGTTTGCGATTTATGATGTCCTTTTGCCGCCGACAGTCCTGCACTTACAGATACGGTCAAGGGCGAAATTTCGCTGAGAACAACTCAAGGGCAGGGATGAGACTCCATGGAGATTTTTCAGGAGAGGTTTCTGGGGCAGGGTGGTCGGTGGGCCATGTGAGCAACATCGAGTTATGAGAGCAAAGCAGATGTATGTTTTAGTATGGTTTATAAACAGGACAAATGGCTACCATTTATGCAGTGTTTACCACATGCCAGCCCTTCATGTATGCTTTTATTTATTCCTCAGTAAACTTCAAGTTTTTTGACAGGAGAGGAAATAGACTCTGAAAGGAATCTTCCCAAGGTCATCTTGCCTTCAAGTGGCAGAGCTGGATTTAGGCTATAGATCTGTAAGGCAATTTAACAGATGTGAAAATGGCCCATCTGAAATGGGGTTTTCCCTAGAGGACTATAATAAGCTCACTTCAAAGACCAGAACATTATGTTAATAAAAGAATATGGCTTTAAAGAAGTCAAATTTCACATTGCTCTTTAAACCCAAGGATAGTTTAAAAGGTATGGTTTAAAATTTTAACGAAAAGAATTAGTGCTCAATAGTGAAAAATTCAGTTGATAATTTCCACTGAAATTCTTCAAATGACATTTTGTTTATAGCTATGAAACTAACAATATTGATTTGGTTAAAGTCTCCCAGCACTAATTAATGAAGGCATTTTGTTGTTGTTGGTGGTGGTCATGGGGCTTGAACTCTGGGCCTGAACGCTGTCCCTCAGCTCTTACAAATAGTTGAGCCTGAGAAGTTTTTAGGAATGTCTTTGTGGTTGTGGTAGACTGTCCTGTTTGGGATTTATGATGTCCTTCTGCCACTGACAGCTCAAGGCTAGCGCTCTACCACTTGAGCCACTATGCCACTTCTGATTTTCTGAGTGGCCTTTCCTGCCCGGGCTGGCTTTGAACTGTGGTCCTCAGATCTCAGTCTCCTGAGCAGCTAGGATTACAGGCATGAGCCACCGGCACCTGGCTAAATAAGGAAAATTTTGACTTGACACAAAACAAACTAAAGTAAAAAAAAAAAAACAAGCTAAAGTAAATAACACTGATTGCTGGTGATGATATAAGGAAAAGATTTGCTTTCTACTTGTTCCTATTAAAAAATAGAGATAGCTTTAAAAAAAAAATCCCACTTCTGAAAATCTGTCTCATAGGAACAAACAAATATCCATCACAGAAGCAAAATCTGGTAGCAAACTGAGTATCTATAAATAGGAAACAATCTTAACAACTTATGGTACAATCTATATGCCACCAACGCTATGCTGCTATGGAAAATTGAACAATTTTAGTGTTACGGAGAGATTTCCCCAAGGAATTGCTAAGTGAGAAGATGATACTATAGACTGACCTGTGATGGTCTTGTCAGCCTGACTAGACTGAGAAACCCCTAGGAGATTTGAACAGCTCAAGGACATATTATTATTTTGTACATTGAAAAGCACTAACAATTTTAAACGGAAAACCCGTACACCTTTTCTGTGTGTCTGTCTTCTCATATCATTAGCATTGAAACTTAGCCAGGGTATAGCCTAGCTGGCTTCATCAGCCTTCTCTTGATATTATTTCCATCTTCATCCCCATTTGAGTCCTACTCCAGAGCCTTGTTGGGTTCAAATAGACCGGATTCATATCCTACATGGAGTGTTTGTACATGTGCTTTCTTCTTTATGGACTGTTTCCTTCTCTTATGCCTCCTTCTCTCCAAATTGACTCGGCTACTTCCTTGCAGATCTTAAGTTTTGCACCACACTCTATGTAATAGTCTTCCTCTGTCTCCCTACTTGCCCTTAACAGGTTAGCAACCCTCTTGTAATTGATATTTCTCTGTCTTTTGTGCTACTTTGATACTCTAATTAATTGATCACCAAATTAGTCCAACATACAAAATTAACTGTCCCTTATGAAACAGCATTGATTCTCATGTCTAATTTGTTGGTCTGATTTCAAAATAATGAATTGTAAGTACCCATTTATATTAACCAGAACCTGTCTCTGGAGGGACTAATTTTCATAATGAATCTTTTAGTAATATAAACAATCCCTCTTCCAATTTAAGTCTGCCGTCTTGGTTTTGCCTTAAGTGATAGAAATCTCTTACTAGAAAAGTCTATCAGAAAAACTGTCAATCTAGACTCAGTGTTTGAAATGAACACCAAAAGCTATATTGCTAATCAATCAACAAGTTGTATTGAGTGCTTCCTGCCTGTCGGGCATGGTACTATGTGAGCAAAAAGATGCCAAGGTTCCGGCTTCCATGCTGCTCAAATTCTTGTGGAGATGGAAGCCGAGATTCCACAAATTGAAGCTGTTAGAAAGAACTTTAAGAGCGCCATCAAGCTTACGGTCCTTATTAAGTACGGATGCCTGAATGAATGCAAATACTCTTTAGTGTAAAAATACTAACAGCCCTGTGTGGAAGGGTAACCTAATTCCTGCCCAGAGTCTGGTATGGAGAATGCTTTCTGGGGCCGTTATTTTGTGCACGCTCCGGTGTTCAACCCCTTCGTACAATTAAGTCAGGACACCCATATCGCAGTGATCGCTCCTAGAGGTGTTCAGTGGCGGGACCTCGACAAACAGCCGTCGACTCAAACTTTTGAGAGACGGGGCCGCTCACGTCCGCGGTAGGGCTCCTGTCGGCACTCAGTACCGCCGCGGTGACCCGGCGCCCGCCGGGCCCGCTCGGCCCCTGCTCGGATCTCATTCTGAAGAGCGCGGAGGGGGAGGCAGCAGCCAGGGCCTTCCTGCTCGGGATGGGGTGCGGGTGGAGAGCGGGGCTGCTGGGTCACTCACGGCTGCAGCGGGTCCTCCCGGTAACGGCGGCGCTGGCAGGGCACGGCCCGGGGCCGGCTGGTGTAGGTGTAGGTGCCGCCGCCCAGCTCCCCCGGGGTGCGGCCCGCCATGGCGGGGGCCGAGGCCATGTCTGGGGTCGAACCGCCCGACTTCCGGTGGAGCTTGGCTTTGAAGCAGGTGGGCGCTAAGGATTCGAGAGAGCCGGAGAGGCGTAAGTAGTGCCAAGGGCAGGGATGCCGCGGGGGGACGAGGGGCGGGACGAGGGGCGGCTCGCGGGGAGGCGGCGCGGGGTGAGGGAGGCCGGCGCCGCAGGCGGGAGCTCCACTCGGCTGGCTCCAGGCAGCGCGGAGCCTGTCGGAGGCGTCTTCACCGGTCGCCCAGCAACCCGGGGATGCGCCGGAAGTCCCGCCCTCCCGTAAGTTCCGGCCGGTGGGTTTCTCGGGAAGGCCGGCAGGGAAGGGCACTTCCGGCCTCTGAGCCCGCCCTCCCGCCCCGGGATCCCTGGTGCGCCTGCGCGCGGGGCGCTCCTCGTGGGGACCCGGCATGGCCGTGTGGGCGGAGGCCCTCCGGGACGCGGCGGCTGTGGCCAGCGCGGGTGTCGGGGGCGGCCTGGCGGAGCTGGTGTCGGCGCCA